CTTGCTACACACACGAAGGGAACTTGCCTATCTGCTGCAAACATCTCATGTGTTTACCCCCAGAGCCAGTGTTCCATGGCACAGGGTAACCAAAGGCATTGATGACTACCAAGACATTTAACGTTACAAGAAAACTCTGCTTCTACACAATTTCTCCTCAAGAAAGGCAGATGATTTGACCAACCATTGACAGTAAGTTGCTTTCTTCCTAATAATTACTGGAACCCAAGCTGCCATCTCTTCTAGGAAGTGGTAGGTCACAGAATTTTCTATAATCTTATCTGCTCATCTCAATACTTTTACTAGGACACAGAAAGTAGTCAGACCTTGTAGCACTCCTTTTGTCTTCCTCCGAAATCAGGAGCCACACAAAATCAGCATAACTCATGCGGCCTTCCTTTTGAACTTCATTGCCTCTGGAAGATACATGAGAAAAAAAAAAAAACCCAAACAAAAAAACCACCAGGCTCCTAAATACTCTGGATGTTATCAAATGTATTTTTCAAAAGATCCAAACCATTGGTGAGAGAAAATGGGGCATCGTCACCCATTCAGCCTGTATTCCCTGCACTCCCCAGCACCAGTCTTTGTGCCCTTCCCTGCAAGGCACAGCATTTGCTGCCTTTCTGTCACTGCAGAGCTGAGGCTCATCTACCACATCCCCTCCCACAACAAGTGCTGGGCTGTTTTACTTTTTGGAGACTTTAAAGCAGTGCTCTCCAGCTAACTCTGTGCTGCTGTGGGGCACAAACACCTAGTGCTTGCATGTTCCCTCTGGCTATGCCCAGCTTGTTCTCCAATGAGGTCTACAGGTGGTCATCCCATGGGGTTTTTTAATTTGTTTTGTTAAGATACCCAGAAGTCTCGCTCCATTTTCAGGCAGCTCCTACCAGAGCACTGTGTTGGAAACTGTTCTGATCAGTGGGGATTTTGGAGAGTATCCTGCATTTCTAATCAGCCTGAAAGAAATTCCCTTCACTTCTATCCCCAACCAGTATGCTATTCCTCACCTCACCACAGCGCCGCTGAATATTCGCTCAATAATCCTGTTTGATAAAGCTGGAAACAAAGAAGACATGAAGAAAATGAAGCTACAGGTCACAGGAATAACTACAGTCAGTTGTTTATGCTGAATCCACACAAAGCCATTTCCCATTGCTAAAAGAATGTTCTATCTACATTGCCTGGTCTAACTACTTTACTGGTCTCCGTTCAGCACCATTTTGTAAAAAGCAAAGATGATTCTCCTAGCATGTCTGCCTTTGTATCTTTCCAAACACCATATTTCCTCACAAATACAGCAACTGTGTGTTATCTGGATTCCTAGACATGGGCAGTGTTACTCCTACTTGGCTGCAGTAGGATTTGTCACATAAGCAAATCCTGCTGATAGAAGGAGACTATGTCAGTGTGTACTGCAAAACAAGTTTAGTTATCAAGCAAAAACCACACATCAAAACCCTACAAAACACTTCTTAGAAGAACACAAGCTGTGGCAATCCTGCTGCAGGGAAGGACAATGAAAAACAATCATCGTTTTAGGTGAGCGGGAGGGCTTTGCCAGTCAGGAAATGTGTGAGATAGATTGTTATGGCAGAGACACACCAGCCAAGCAGCAAGTACCAGTTTTGAGCAGAATTTGCACACTGACCTCACCCTCCCAGACGACTGACACACTTCCTTTAGACCCCCACCATAGCTTCTTCTACACGTTCTCCATCACTTCTGTAGTCCTGGCACACTTCTGACACACCAGCCAGGCAGACCCAACCTGCACAACCCCCCACATCCCCCTGGCACAGTGCTGACAGGCTGCGGTACCACTGCACTGACAGCTTCTCCCCATCACCCTGCCCACAGCACCCCTTCTATCTTTAGCTCCCTAGCACCCAGTAGTCTCAAGCCTCCCGTACAACAAATACTCCATCCCCACAATCCAGCCTCCCAGCAGGGACCAAGTCTACCGTATCACCTATCTCAAGTCAGGCACTCCTCCACTCTCACCCCATCCAGCCCCATGATCAATGCTCCTAACCCCTGTGACTGCCACACTCACCCAGAACCCCCACGGCCTTCCCATAAATGCCACCACTCAGAACACGTGGGCCACTGCACCATTCTGACACACACACATACCTCCAGCATTGTCACTCTCACATCCCCTTCCTTCTTTCTTACTTCAGCCCACTAGGATCTTGGCTCCTACAGAATGTTGTCCCCATCCCCAGAGCTCCAGCAACACCTGACAACTTGTCACACCTCCAGATCCCTGTAGCTCTACGTGCTACACCACCTTACCACATTCATCTTTCCTGATATCTCCAGTTGCACATTGTGTCTAAACAGCCCATTTCCCAAAATTTGATTCTCTATCCCAGACCTACTTTCCCCAAAAGTGCAGCAAGGAAGAATCCAAGAAGGCTTTGTCTTCAGAATTAAGCATGCTGGTCAATAGATCAAGGTCCAAGACATTATCTCATGAGTCCTAACAAGTAAGCACATGGGCATATCATGCTCTCAGAACATGGATAATCAGAAACAGCTGGCCTGAGTGCCTCCATCTATCACAACACATACAGAACAAGTGCCTTTGGTTTTTTAGCCCTTTGTGGACTTGTATTCCATTAACTTATCCATGGCCTTGAACCTCTGAAAACTCATAGCATCTGCTCAACTTGAGGAAAGAAGTTCCACAGTGTCCTCAAGATATATTCTCCAGAGCACGTCTGCAAACTGAAATGCACCAAGCTTCACTGGACTCTAGAATTTCTGTCACGTATAACAAGATTGTGCTTCAGCAATCTTAAGTCCACACGGACTTGTCCTTCTTGTCCCTACTTCCAAGTTCCCGTAAAACCCTTAGTAAATAATAAGCAAGTTTCAAGACATTATTTTAGCTTGTCCTTCTGACAGTGACCCACACGTGAACAGAAGCTCTTTCTCTACCTACTCATGCAGAAAACAGTGTGTACTGCATTTCTGTGTCTAAGCCCCTACAACTGTCTCTGTGAATCAGTATTTGTGTAAGAGATGGATGGCTCCATTTAATTTTTTTTTGAGGCATCAAATTAACCAAATTAAACCTAGGCTTTACTCTTTAGTGGGAGCATTCTATTTTCAGCAATCCCCTTTGTCCCACACAGCTTGCAGGCAGCGTACCTTGATCACTGTACCTAGCCAGATCCTTCTGGCTGATGTAAAGATCATGGTCAGTGTCCAGCTCCCAGAATTTACAGTATATAACATAGAAGTGCTCGTAGGAGAAATAATCTGTGATCTGATTTATGTCATCCTCTTCTTCCAAGAGAGCAAGAGTCTGAAAGAGTACAAATAAAGTGGGAAGTTAAACCTAGACAAAGGCAGTTCAGCAGCTGAAGTTCTCCAACCTGTGAAAGCTGGGTGAACACAGCTCTGAGAGCTAATCCAAAATGCAGCCTTTCTCCGCCGTAGGAGATTTTGTTGCTGCATTCCTTAACAGGCACTTATAGAGCATCTGGCTTGGCTATCCTGGTTAGCATATAGGTGCACAATATTTCTGCTACTCCCGTGAACAATTTATGCTCATTTTCACCTATAGTGTAGAGTGAGGCAGAGAAACAAGAATGCAACTGCTGTCTCATCTGGGATCCATTATTTGTGAAACATTTCTGACGTGCACCAGAGGCTCCTATAGCCATTTACAACAGCAATTCCACAGTTCTCCACAGGAACTGAGATACATCTTTACACATCACACATTCTTGCCTGGCTCCCAAAGGGCAAAATCAAGTCTTGCTCCAGACTCATGTCTGGACTGGGGAAGGAGGGACAGATCCCAAGCAGATCACACTAATCACACTGATTTTCCTGGGCTGTCACTGACAGGAATTAGTCTGGTTTATCCAGGAGGCTTGGACAGATTTCCAACCATGACACCTGTTTACACGTCCCGTTAGAAAACATCTAGTGACAATGTCCTTATTTCATTCCCACTTCACATCTACCTCTGTCCTTCCCTCCACTCCACCTTCCCACCGACAGGAAGGCATTGTATGTTTACCAGTGCCACCTTCCTGTTTGCCCTTCTCCTAGTGCTGAGGCCATGGGACACCAGATAGCCTTTTCAGTCTAATAACTTACGGCTGCAGGAATGTGAAAAGGCTAACAGACTCAAGCGAGCTATAGGTCTGTCCTCCCCTGTCCTCACAGCCTCTTAGAAGGGAGGAGGTGAAACACAACCTAAGGGCTATCCCAGAGAGTTCTGTCTCTAAGCAGGCAGGCTTAGTGGCCCTTCCATCCACAAACATATGCTATATGTAGGCACTGGTAATTCAATGTCAACTTTCAGTCACCATATCCAAGGAACCCAACTGAGGCCCCACAAAACTCTCAAATCCTGCTGTCCCACCAGGTTCAGTAAAGCGTCAGGCAGGGACAACAGGATAGCACTGCCAGACATCCACTATTCTGACTTGCTGACACTCAAGTCTAAAAATCTCTGATCGCTCACTCACTGGACTCTTCAGATTCTTTATGGGTCTCTCCATTTCTTTGCAGATGATAAACACTTGGGGAGGTTTTTCAATAACTGATTTTTTTCTTTTATAGCTCATGCCAAAATATGCTATTTACACATGCAGCAAAGAGCTGCTCAAGCGAAATTACGGTTCTAAAGCTGAACTTCCCTGCTGCAGGAGATAAAAGGCAGAGTAGATATGCAAGAAGAAAAAGGGGAAGAGTGTATAAAGGGAGAAAATGAGTGAATAAAGATGCAGGATAAGTTTGGAGGATTTGTTTATAACAGGGGTTAGGGAGCAACTAGGATGAGATAATCCAAGGGAGCACTGATTTTTTCATCAGCTGATTTGATCAGTGGGGCAAAAGATGTCTGGAAGGACACGGAATGCGAATTCATGCTTGAGGCTTTTGAGGAAGACAGCACGCTACATCTGGAAGGGAGAACACAATGCAGTAAGGAAGTCTCACTGCTTTAGCTGAGCCCTTAACATTTCAGCCAAAAGACTTTGCCTGTTTTTAGGTTGGGCTGAAGTTGAGCAGCCTCAGTTTTAATCTGATGCTCTTTTGGGCAAAATATACAGAGAATGGAGATCCAAATCCTGAAACCTCTGCCCAGAGTAAGGATACATCGTAGGGATTGTAACAAGAACTAAGCTTCATTCATTAACCTTTCTGAAGAAGGAGTGAAAGTCAGCTCCTGAGATGCACGGTCTTGCAATTGCACAGCACAACATGCCTGACCAACTGTCAGCAGGCTGATTGCCAGTTGGGAGCCAGGAAATTGGCTGTCCTACCCACCACGTATTGTAGGCGATCCAACAGCTATTCTTGGCTGCTCAGTGAGCCACTTCACATAGGTACGCTGCTGCGTCTTGCTTCCCTTCCTTTTTGGCTAGATCAGGAGCCAAGAGCCAATCTGCCTGATGCAGCTTCAGAGTGTGTGCACAGTTGCCCCTTGACCATCTGTCAGCGCACTCTTGGGGTACTCCAGTCCCTGGTCTTCTCTCATCTCAACTCAGACACAACTCCTCCAGCAGCCCTAGCCCTCTTCTAGCACTGAGCATTTGGCCTACCTCACTACAAGCCAGGCACAGCTCCCTCACTATATAGTACACGGCTATAAGAACAACAATATGATGCATTCTGTATTTTGTTCAGGCAGAAACCAACGTACTTGCAAGAAGTTGCTTTTCCTCAGCTCTGTTAGAGTGATCTTCCCAGACCAGGATCGATTGACTGTGTAGAATATTCTCTGTATAACCTGCAACACATGAACAGCGCTCTTGAAATCAACTCCTGAAACATACCAGTTTGGGAATTTAAATGCAGTAACTTTGTTTTGTTTATTCACTCATCCTAAGGGGACTTCCTTTTGAAAACTGTTTTGTGATCTTTTTTGTAGATATTACTATCCTTAATCCACTACACAGTCTGAAAGTAGTGTTTGCTTCTGAAACAGTATTATCCATTTCCACTCTGCAAATATTTTCACTGCTCTTAATTCACATCTTTGAGCATGCAGATACATTATTTATGTCAGGGCATATGTTCAAAGCGCTGATGAATCACTCTGAAATGAAGTTTTTCAGGTTTTAAGCACTGTAGCTTGCATGGATCTCAATGAGCTAGTGTTCTACACGGTGGGGGGGGGGGGAACCAAACCAGGACTTTTGAAGAGGAAACAGTACATGTAAATGAAAGCCACAATTGATGTCTGACCTATTGTGTCTGTAACAATGCCTCATCCTCTTGGTGGCTCCACTAAAAGTAAGCAATAGAGATTATCTGTCTGCATTTATCTTAGGTAGGTGTTAACCTCATTTGTCTCCTTTACTGATCTGCCTCTGGTCAAAGTGAGCAAAAACCATGGGAGGAATGCACAGACCTCTGAGAACCCAAGAGAACTGGTTCACAGTGTGAGACTGAGTGCACTCCCAAGCACCTAAAACCAGCAAGCTGAACCCTTCCTAGTCCATTCCTTGTTAGCTTGTCAAATATCATCACAAAGCGGGGAAAACACGAATGTGTGATCAAGCACATGCAAGAATAGATTTAATAGGGGAAACAACAACTAAACATCTTCTACAAAAGACATTAGAAATGTAATTAATTTGACTATCAGCACTGAAATTATGGAATAGAATTCTTGTCAACCAAACCCAATACAAACAAACCATTGATGTCTCTGACATTATGCTGACATATTATCCTAGAATTTTGGTAAGCCCTAATAGTGCATGATATTCCAAGACAAAAATCAACTTTACACAACAACATGGACATTATAGGGATTAATCCAGTTAAATTAAATGGGATGGGTTTGTTTCTTAGCTAGAACTAGCTTCAAGTGGGCAATCACCATTTAAAGGACATGCTTTGACTTAGTCATACAAGTGCTGGTTCTTAGTCCAGAACAGATCTGGAACCAAGTATGGGATTGTTGCCAACAATCTGCTTTGGAATACACAGATTAGTGAGACAGTGAATGCTGATGAGCACAAATAATTTTGAGAGCAACAAGAATGATTTGAGCATGATGTATCCTGTAGAGAGAACTAATATATTCAACTGAGCTGAACATGACACCTCTTGGTAGCCATCCTGGTCCTTAAAAGCCTACATGGGGAGACGTGGGACAGCAGGAAGGCTTTTTGTGTCTCATGAAATGCATAACTAGAAGCTGAAATCAGCCCAGTTCAGACAGATAAGAATGCACTACTTTTACACTGCCATTGATTAACCACTGGGACAACCCCCAAAGAAACACCACAGGCTCTTTATCACTCCTGACTTCAAAGATGGATGCCATTCTGAAGTTGGGTGTCAATTCAATTAGAGATAAACCAAAAAAATCTATCCCAACTATAGCAATCACTGAACAATGTTATATGGCCTGTGTAATGCAAGAGGTCAGACTAGGTAATCACAATGATCTTTTCTGGTCTTAAGCACAATGAAAAAGCTGCGTGTTTGTTTCTCCTTTAATGCCTTTGGCAGCCGCTGCCATTCTGGACTATTTTTGTACTTACTTTGGCCTTTGCTTCCAGATTGCAGAACAGCTCAGAGACTGAAGTGGGTCTTACCATATACATAACCCATTATCACACCTAACAACTTTGTAGCAATTCTTAGAGATACAGGATTTTCATACCATTCCAAGGACTCAAAAGTAACAATCCCAAGAATCAGAAAAAGGACCCTAGCCAGCAATCTTTTATTACCCTGCAGGCAGAGGGGGAAAAAAAAAAAAAAAAAAGACAACAAAATATCCCCATTTGTGACATGTAAGAAACTGTTCCTCTATCAGACCATATTGATAAAAATGTTCCACCTGTTCTCTCCTCACCCAGCTGTAAAAATAAGGCATTCAGAGGTAAAATGGGATCTCTTTCACCATATCCAGTGACTCAGTGCAGGCTTTATTATTTAAATAATGGCCCAGTTTCAAAGGATAGTACATAGTGTATGTATCAGTATAAAATGTCAATACTCCTCTCTCTCTCTCTCTCTCACCCCCAATGTCAATACTTCTCTCTTTCTTTTCCAGGTTGTGAAAACCAAGCTGTCAAATAAAGCATTTGGGAAACAACCTAGAACATAATTACACAGCCTGAGATGATTTGCAGCATTCAAGCCACACTTGCCAGTTCTGCCTCACTTGAAAGCTGTAACTGGCTTCATTTTTTCCCAGCATGGAAGATAATTTATTCTGAATTCAGTACATAAGCCTTTGGAAGGGGGAGCCCCTTCCTATTTTTCCCCATTATCCTCATGTAATCTACCTCCAGGAACCAAACCACTGATGGGTCAGTTCTAGACTTTTCCCCAGTCTTCCCGTAGAAGAACAAAAGCAATACCATTTCTGGAAAAAACCACAAAGCTTTATTAAACCCTGTAGGCCATCCTCCCCTTACACATTTGCATTGGTAATACTGCATAAGCTGAAGCATTTTTCAACAAGCAGTATGTTTTGCCAAGTTGTTTTTAGTTGACTCAGCTTTTCAACAACAGCATGCAGCACTAACTCTCAGCCTTGTTCGAACATTCTGGGAGAAGTCACATTTTAAAGCTTTTACAATAAACGCCACATGATACTCTGCATCGTCTTCACCAGCTTCAGAAGTCGGTCGCTGGTGAAAGAAACACAAGTAGTTTAGTATACTGGCAATACAACAGCTCACAGATACTGATACAGATTAAATTACAGCCTATTGTATCCAAGAGTCACCTCTAAAAGGTGTAGAGGTAGGCAAAAAAAAACAACCCTGAAATGTGCATACACATCTTACCCATACTAGACTGTTAGCTTAATCTTCAGGTCATTTCAACCAAGCGACGCTGTATCCAGCAATGAACACAAAAGCCAGTGTCCCCTTAGGGCCCTCGTCTGTAACACAAAAATAAAATTTAATTCTTGCACTTGCAGCAAATACAGCATTCTGTCACTGTAAGTAGGTATAAGGCACTCTACCTTGAAGGGATCAAAAGGTTCCAAGTAGTCTCAAAATCCAAGGACAAAGTTGTTTCCTTCATTACCTCCTGGTGGAAACACTGAATTTTGTAACATTAAAGAGAGAGAAGTGACAAACTGCCTGCAAAAGGAGATGTGAGAAATAGGAACTCCTGGTATCAAGAGAAGAGAGCCACTGCTGCAGTGGGCCAAGTACTGCCACTCCAGATGGGAACAACCACGGGAACCTGACCCAACAGTCTGTTTCCCAAGGTCTCAACCATGCTCCAACTCAAGTGATCTGGCCAAGGCCAAACAGGCTGAGCTCAGAAGGAATCTGACAGCATAGACACCCAGAACAGCATTGTCCTGCCAGCATGAGGAGTCTGTGAAGGACATCACAGCTTTGTAAAATTCACCACTACACACCGTTCGCCTCAACCACAAGCGCCACTGTTTCCTGGTTGCCTGGGAGGAAGCCTAGTAAGCCACCTCTGTCACAATATTGTCAGTAAGGGTGCCTAAAGGCTCAGACTGAAGTAGGAAAGCACAGTGGAGGCACAAGCAGAATCAAGCACTGAGGAGCTTAGTGTACTCATGAAGGGTCTGATTCTGTGACTGCTTTATGGTGGTCACAGAGGACCTCACCCAGGCACAAGGGAAGTGTGGAAAAGGATAGAGGAAGGAAAAGGTGTTGCCCTTTTTAGTAGGAGCCTGCACATCAGTTATCTTTGAAGTGGAACCTCAGCTTCACACAGCTGGTTTCTCAGACCATAATGTGCATGGCACCCTAATGAGGTCCAGAAAGAGCAAGCAATTGCTGTTTCGGGATATCAACAGTGATCCTTTAGGGGATTACTTTACAGAAACATCTGGAAGACCAGAGAAGAGGAACCTGGAAAGGCAGATGCACAGAACTGCCTTTGTCACCACCCAACAGCGAGCACCAGGACAACCATGCATTATATCTTGACCTGCTTTCCAGCAAAGAACAACTGGTTGATACTGCAGTCAGAAACCAATTCTAGTGTGACCTTAAATCATTCAGCTCCCACCCCTCCACATACTTTAAACACCAATATAAGAGTACATGTGCCGCAGGCACCTTCCGCACTCACCCACTCATGTGCTTCCATAATTCCCTGGCCATTGTTATACCTATTCTGGCCAGCTTAATGTGTCTTGACTTGCTCCATGAGGACTAAACATGTTGATAATACACCAATGTTCACTGCCTTGTTCAAGTGCATCTAAACACATAAAATTGATTCTTGTTATACATTTTCATAAAACATTAGTGTGACAGTTCAGGGTTTGCTCAGAGCAACAGTGTCTTTCTGTCATCTGTTCCTTACAGGAAAGGAACAAGCCTGTGTCTGCCAGTAATCTCCCAGCAGCCAGTATGTGGTACAGCTGGCCCCCCTGCAGACGCTGGCAAGCAAACAGGAGAAACTTTCAGCCCTTGAGCCCTGCTGGATTACAGCTCCCGTCAGGTCTGTCATTATTTGCATTTGTTACTGCTGCAGAGGTAAAACATCCTAACATTTACACCTTTTTATCCAGATTCATACCCAACATGAGACAAGCTAAAGGCTTAAAAAATAAGTACAAGCTTATTCAAGTAAAGCACCAGCCTAACTGCTCACTGCAAAGTTGGAACAAAGCTACAGAACAAAACCCAACAACAAGTAGTAGTCCCAAAAGCTCAGAGACTCAGAACGACTAGATAAGCTTTCTGGCAAGAGCAAGAGGCAGGAGAGTTGGACAGTAGACCCCTGTGTGCAATGGATGCTTTGTACTATGGATCACAGATTCTCCATGCCTAAGTGACAGAAATATTCAAACATACCAGCCTTCCATGTCTCAGCAGCCCAGCAGAATTAGAGTTAACTACTTAGCAGCTCTCAAAGACCAAAGAAGGACCTCTCATTTTCCTTCATCAGGATTAAAGGCCAAAAAAGTTGGGTTTATACATTTGCTTAAGACCAGAAAGAATCATTATTAACCTTTTGAATAACCTCTTGTACACACAGGCAGGTTCATTTTTCCTTTGGAAGTAGTTCTTAAAATAACTCATTGCCAAGAGTATTAAAACTACTATTTTTTTTTTTTTTTTTTTTGAAATAACTGAAGGATTTGCTGATGGAAACAGTGACAAATCACAAAGGGAGGGTTGGTACAGCAGTATCACAGGAGATCAAAGGAGCCAACCTACCGTCGTAATATACCGGGAATGGAACTCCGGAGCATCCTTCAGGAACGTCAGGCCAGGATGAGTTTCCACCACATCCTGCAAGATAAGACCAAATAAAATGAAACAGATTTTCTTCTCCTTTTAATGTTTACAAGTTACTGGATTTATAAACCAATACTTTTGCTTACTTTTGAAACTGTATTTGCACCATTAACAATAAAACCAAAATGACATCTTTTTATATATAAAGTGAACCTTCTAGAAGTATAAGTAGAATACATTTTCTGGGCAATACGCACCTGTTGGGCCATTTTGATTTACTTAAGGACAGAAAAACAAAGGAAGAGAGTTAGTGAGTAGATGAAAACTCATTTTCATTGAATGAGACAAAAAATTAGTTAGTTGACCATGCAACTATCTCCTCTCCAAGATTTTTTTTCTTCCATTCACTGAAGATATTAACATTTATTAGAGCTAGGTGTCAGAAATAAACATTCCTTGAAAGGTTGAGAAAGTTGCCTTCTATGTCCTCCACAACAATGAAAGCTCTTGTGAGCCTCAGAATGCATACAGATATGATCAGTGCTTTTCCAAAATTTACTTGAACTACCTGTGGAGATGCCTCTTTCTGAAGATCAGCTTTTTATAAGCCAAACACTGGCTTATGATGCCAAATCTGGCAAGAAATGCATGACCAAAAACGTGGAGAAACTGCTCAGATCCTGTATGAATCAGTGTCTGTGTAATTTTTACATCTGACTCCTCTACGCTTTAAAAAAAGTGTTCAAAGTTTTGCTTTGTCTACACCATCACATGACAAAGGGATAGAGCAGACACAGTGCGCCCTTAGGGGTATGATAAGCCCAAATTTTGGCCAATCTAACTTGACATCTAATATGATGGTGTAATATTGCTAGTCTCTGGTTGACTGACAAACAAGATTGTACATGCCTTTGATTGCACCAGTAGCTAAAAAGCACAGCTGCAATCAATCAGGAAAGGCAATGGGCCCAGTGGAGAAGAGATGAAAAGGAACACGAGCAAATTTACTCATCACAGTCCCAGCTTTGTCTGAGACACAGAAGCATCCAGTGCAGACACAAAATCTTTCCCCAAAGCAGCATCTCCGCAGAGGTTTTGCATAGAGGGCAACACAGTGTGAGAAATCTGGGGATATGTGGAAAAGCTCAGAAAAAATATCAACATATGATCAGAGGAGCAGATGGACCTGATTTGTAGAGAAACTATAAAGAAACCCCAAACTTGTCCAGAGCCTGCCTAAATGGCTGCACATAAAGAATGATAATTTGCTTTGTTTAAAGTATTACATGTGAATAAAAGGAAAAGAAAAAAATGAAATCAGGATGCACAGATTTAGCCTGAATGCTAGGACAAAAATACATCAGCAGTGAGACTTGCACACTAGCAGGCTTAGAGGCATATGCAGAACAACTGGAACTGCAATTTGTTTTGCAAAGATTTCCACTTGATATTGATCTGGTAGTCTTGCTAGACAAATTCAATTATAATTGTCTTGACAAGCAACTTTTACAACTTTTCTAATAAGCTTTTATGTTGTGCTTGAGTATCAACAGCACCCATGCATTTTTCCCAATAACCACCTACAGAGATCTGGCAAATTTCAGCCTGGTTACCAGGCATTGATAAATATGAATCCTATCAAGAGACAAGAGGCTAAGTAAAGCTTTGACAGTCCTCAAAGACTTTAGCAAGATATGTAGCTGGTTAGCACCTATTCCAAATAATCCACTTAAAATGCTTATTTCTATTTCACTCCAAAATAAACCCCACCCAGGTGCTGTTCAAACCAAAGGTCTGCACATCCTTGGTAAACATTTAAAGATAGGAAAACAAAGAAGTTACAAAATAAACATAGTGTGCTCTCCCCACCCATTTACTGCTGAGCTGTTGCAGGTACCTGAAGCAGCGGGATGAAGTCCTCCTGTTCTAGGTAGTCACAGCTAGGCTTCGCTAAAAGGTATGTGAATTTGGATGCATCATCATGGCAGTTACACAGGATTCTATGAGAGAGATGAAGAGTTACTCAAACCACTTTGTACTTCACAGGACAATCATGAACTACAGAGAGATTATGAAGTGCCTTACCACATGTTACGAGATACATCTATACCGTGAATTGCGCAAAATTTCTCAGACTACTAGCACCCATTTTCTTCAATATCTTTCAGCAGCGCCATGGTACAGCCACCCAGTGGAACTCTTTTCATGTCAACATTGCTGTGGTAAACAAGTTTTCTTACTGAAGACTGTTCTTACTTTGATTCCACAGCATCTTAGCAAGTAGCCTGACTTTTCAAAATGCTGCATGCTCACTGATCTCATTTGAAGTCAAGAGGAACAACCTAATGGGATGCCATAACAGACTTGGTCTCCAATTTAATCCTTTACTGTATTTCAATATTAGAGGATATTGCCAAACTACAGTGACTAATTTTCAACCAGAAAAATCACTCCCCAGAAGGGTAAAAAGAGCATCCCTTGTTAATTGTGGCATAGCTGGCTGCTGTGCACTGAAGTCATGGCGAACAGCCTAATGAAAGAATTAGGACTGAGTGTTTAGAGAAGCACGTAAACTTGTTCCTTAGGTTGACAGTTTGCATCTATGGCACGGATTCTCGTCTCTGCTTTCTTCTAATACAAAAGAACTACGCTGGTCAAAGGTATCACAATTACTTAAATTCACTCTGAACAGAAACACCCATGAAAATGGAAACTCCATGACATTTACCCAAATCACTACTGAATACCTGTAACAGAAGAGAATGCCAAGTTGTTCATATAGTACAAGGGAAACAGTAAATTACTCAGAAAATTATGAATGTGAAAATACAAATGCACTATTATTTACTATGAGTGATTATTCAACCCCCTCCTCTCCTGAAATTGTATGAATTTATATTGAAACATAGTACTGAAATGCCTGTAGTTTTCCTGCAGAGATGACACCGTAACTGCCTTGCTGCTAATTCTGGTCTCACCACTCTTTACCAAAAGCAGATTTTACAAAAGTTTTGGGGTGTTTTTGTGTTGTGGTTCCCCCCCCAATAAGTCTTCAGGGGGGAAGGGAGAAAGAAAAAAAAAAAAAAAAACACCACAGGTATTATGGCTGTGTTCAGATAGCTGTAGTTAGTCTAACTTTACCAGGAACACTACACATAATTCTGTCTATCATATTTCCAGAAAAACTTTTGCAACTGTCAGAGGGGAAGGGGGGGAAATCTTTGTAAAAGAGTGATTGAAGGGAGAAAAGCATACAAAACTTGGCTTGGAAATGCGTGGTTTAAAGAACACAGAAGAGGGGCATGACCACAGTCTGCAAATATCTGGAGGATGTGAAAGTCAGAGGAGTGAAAATATGTAGTATCATACATGAGGGATTAATTAGGAGTAATTGGAGGAACCTAACGAAGGAAAAAAAATGTTGTCCACGTCAAGAACAACTTACTGATCACAGTCACCCCTGACATTTTTGCAATTTTGCCAGGGTAACTAGAAGCTGTTTTGATGATATTATCACAGAAATACTTTGGGAACTCGGGTTAAAGGCTACTTTAAGAATCTGAAGAGCAACCCTTAAGCCAAAAATTAGAACTCTCTCTGGATGCGAGATGGAGACGCTGTTCAGGTGTTTCACAAAGTAGACCAAAGCCTGAATCACCCTGGAGGGAAAAAGATTAGGCAAGAGAGCAAGTCTGTTGCACCTCACGCTTCTGACTCCAAGCACAATACATCCAGAGCCCTCAATTTCAAAAAGCAGCCTTGACAGTGATATGTGGAAGTGACTGTCAAACCCACAGATTTATTATACAGTGTGCTTGAGGAAGGTAATAACTATTAAAGGTCCCAGAGTATCCACTTGTATGATGCTTCTTCATTTTACATTCCTTTTTCCTGTCTTATAACATTATCACACACCTGCTTTCCCCACTCCCAAATGGCACACATTTAGTGTACTAGTGTAGCAGCAATAAGACCTCAGAGAAATATATCCATATCCACTGACATCTATTAGCTATCTCATGAAAGGCTGACATTTCTAGGGAGCATGTTAATATATTTTATATGCCAACCAGACCAAAACATCTCATCATCTATAAAATTACTTCAAAGTTTGTTGATACAGCATGGAAACAAGTGCTCAGGGAGTTTTGGGGAAGAACACTTAAGATAACTGAGATTAAGCTGTTTATTTTCTTCTAAATAAGGGACAATGATTTGAGAAGTCTGGTGGAAGAAAAAAAAAAAAAAAGCTTTTATGGCAGGCTGTTCTCTTTTTCCAGAAAGAGAATTTTGCATTTGCTATACTCACTTTCTCCACATGGATACAAATGAGTGTACAGATACACATCGCATCCTTTCTCCTCCCGATGCATTGAACATCGGTGCTTTCCAGTAGAGTGGGCAGCCACATATCTGTAATGAAACACCAGAACAAAGAGGAATACAAAAGCCGCCACAAGAAAAGCCTGCTTGTTTACACATCAAATTAATCACAGAGACTTTTACATAAGGAAAATAAAGTGGTAATGGCACACACGTTGATAAAAAAAGCTATTTACTGTATGCCAATATTCAGAATCTACAAATAACTTTCTTCTTTGCCATATGCCTTTTTAAATAGCTGAGAAATACGCCCCATCAATCTAGGAAAAGGATCAGATATTATCAAGCTCTTAAGCTGTCTTTAAGCTGTTTAGCAAGATTCCCTGAGAAGTGAAGTGGAGAGAGACAGGCACCTCCTTCCAGAAGGCTGCTAAACCAGCTACTTCACTGACCTACCTTCAATAAGTATGACCCATTCTCTGCACGGGCTGACTTCTTCTCATTGATAGTAAGGGAACTTCAATTCTAATTACAGACAATTAATGATTAAATGTCTGCAGGTGAAGTGATTCCCATCCCATAGTTCTCAGTGCAGTGCCTTCCACCAAGAACAGCCCATTTTCCCAACTCTGCTAGATCAAGGTAGGAATAAAAAAAAAAAATGAAAGCACAAGTGGAAAGAGCCTGATTACAGCAAAAGGACTCCCTGAACATAACTTCTTAACTAGTCTCTGCAGAGGCTGCTAGCTTTCAGAATGGTAATCAATGAAAGTTCAAGCGTTTCGTACTCTCTAATGCCTCAGAAAAGCAGGCTTGAAAATGGCTTCAAACATTCAGCTTCTGACACCAAGAAACCTCCTCTTTACCACAAAGATCTTTCCAGCCACCTTCATGACTCCAGCCAAGATATCAGAACATTTGTAAAACACGGGCCTTGGAGGGAGTGTAGCTAATTCAGGCCAGGCACAGGTAAGAAGGATATCACACCAAATGGAAGGAGGAATATTTTGAAGTCATTGAGGCATCACTTCTGCTTTCCCTGCAAAGCCTCTTTCACCTCTTCTATTAGGCAAGACTATCCTGCAAGTCCATTCTCAACTTTTTGCCTGGGCTTGCGCTTTTATTTGGGAACCCCAGTCAGCATAAGAACTGCTTTCAGATTTAGCCACCCGTGTGTCAGGCAACTGTAATTCTACAGGTGTTTAGCTACTCTGAGGAAAGAATGACATTTCCTTTATGCTGTTTTCTTTGTGTAGCTGGTTCTCCCGCATTTATTTCAGAGCCTCAAAACTGGTACTGTTATCAATTATCCCACAGAACAGAAACAAGCCTTACAACAGCTAAGTGGTATAGAGCACATCCACGTAGAGACAGATGCAGAGACCAGACAGAAAGGCCGAGGTCTGTTCTAAACCACCCTCCTGCTTTTCCCAGTTTGAACAGGCCACACAGTTGCCTGTCTTGTCATGAAATCAGTTTCAACCCCTTTTTTGGTCAAGCAAAGAAGCTCTTCTGTTTATGTTTTCAGAGTCAGTTTACAAATACTGACACTCAATTCCTCTGAAAACAAATAAAACACCAACCTAGTCTCTCCTTTAAAAAAAAAAAATCTTCCTTCTTGGAAAACAAGGGCTCCTCTTGGACAGAACATCATTGCTCAATCTGCAGTGCCAAAGATGCAATCAGGGCAAACCGAACATATGAGATGCGTCTGACAACTGCTAGTTTCAGATCTGCATTACTAAAAACCATGGTTGAAGGAGAGGAAAATAGAACCACCCATCTGCATCGTGCTCCCACACAAGTGCTGTGTTTTGTTCCCTGAAGCCAGGAACTCATTAGCAGACTGTAACTCCAAGTCTGCTGACACCTGCATTATGGATATTGAATACATGCATCTCCGTGGCTGAGGACTGACTAAGCATTTCCCTCTTCTCTGTCCAAGGAGGCGCAGGTTGGAAACTGCATTCTCAAGCAACACTGCAACAGTATACACAGGTCATGTCCAGATTAGTGGGACAGCTAACCACAAGGAAGGTAGCTGGCACTACCTGAAGCCAGAGAGGCAGACTAAGTTTCTGCTATCTTCTGAGCAGAACTATGGAGGAACAGAAAAGGAAAAATGCAGTTTATATCTGGTAAGAAATCCAAAAGGACCATTTTGCAAATCAAAGCAAGAAAGAGCACATGCATCAGATGTGGCAAACAGAGATCACTTTTGTTTACTATTTTCTTAATCTAAACAAAAACATTCAGAGCAAAAGGATATTGGTTCTTTTTTCACTAAAAATGCGAGTAGCTGTGAGATACTTTTTAGATTCAGTCTTTCTCTCCAAAAAATGATAAACCTAAAGAACGGTTACCTTAGCAATCTTCCCCATTTCACAGATATTGGCTTTCTCATCTTCAAACTCCATAAAGGCTTCTTCAATCCTGGTGATGATTTCTTCATGATTAGTGCAGACATTCGGAAGTCCTTTAGGGAAGTAGAAACGTGGAATGTTTATCGACAAAGGGCTACTGCTGGTGGCTTTATTCACAGGCAGAAGAGTGCAAGTGCTAACTGCGGAGTTCAAAGGGACTGGGGATGAAGTTCCAGGTTTTTTCTCTTGTTTACTTTGAACCTGAAAATATAATGAACAACAAACACTTTTTAACAGCATGGCATAATGAGCAGGAAAAACCGGTTTGTGCTCCCAGTGAGTAGGAAAAAAATTTAAGACCACCAACAATTAAATTATAGCACAGGGATAAAAATGCATGTCTTAAGTAGGCAACTGACAAAGTTCTGGAATAACAGACATTGCCAATTTAAGATATGTCACATCCTTCTTTTATGTAGTTTCTGTGCATTTCATATATGTAGCTGTGGATTAGAATATATACTATTGAACCACAAGAGAACACACTCTGCAATTCAGCAATACCACAGAATGAGGACAATACTATTTCTTCTCATGTTGGTCACTGTGTTGTCATTCTGCCCCATAAACAGCAAAGCATCAAAATCTGGTCTTTACTATTTCTTCTTAGAAGCAGAACACCCACCCACACAAATGTCTTGCCTCATCTATGAGCAAACTTACATTCCTAACATTGACATTTTCCATCCCTCAGGAACATAATTAGTTTTGCTAAAGTATCACTTCACAGATAAATTAAGAAAAGATTTGCAAGACTGTCTTCTAAATTTCAGGAAGCCTTTTATTCTATGCCCAACCTGAGCCGCCCAAGACCTAATTTTGTTTGAGGTACTCCATACTGGCAAAACAATTTTTACATTTGTAATTATGAACAGCCAGCAGTTTGTCATTGGGTACCCACATGATACAGCACACAGGGTTAGTGCAAAATGCAGAAAGTCTCCTTACAACTCCAGTCAAAAGACTCCTTTTGCAGGCAAAGCACCCAAAGGTTTCACTGAATCAGCACCTACATAATTTGCTGAAAAATTAGGGGGAAACTGGGAATTGAAACCAGGCCATCCACATGCCTGTTTGAAGGTGGTCTTTTCTCTCACGCCTGCCACCTCTTTTTTCATTAGCTCTACCATCCAACCACTCCTCTCCTGCCTGTAACAAACATATGGCTGATAGAAGGACTGGTCCACCCTAACAGGTCTCTGCAATCTCCTACTTCTAGCTATATATCAATACTTTTCATCAAAGGCAGCATTTGTATTTAAGTACATAATGAGATCCTAAAATAGGTATTTTTTCAGGCATGGGAGGGAGTATTTTTTTAAGCTTTGAAAAAGTAGTTACAGTATAAGCAGCACGATTCAGTTGCTGGAACGCTGAGGGATAACAAATTCCCTACTCCCCCATGAATACACGTTTTCTTGGGAAAAGGCAATAGGCTTGCCTATTGGACAATGGTTCGAATGCAAGAGTTATTATTAATATAACAACATATGTGATAAGAGGCTAATAAGGCAACAGTCAAGTAAATACAGCTGCAACTTTCAGTTTGTTTATTCCAATTACTTCAAAACAAAATGGTTTTAGGATAAAGTAGCCAAGTCTGAGTTCACTAAATACTGAAGAACGTATGTGATGAACTGACTAAACTCTTTGCCTGATTATTTTCCAGAAACTTTGAGCTTTTGTTCTTAACACATACTGAATACCCCAACTTGCCACTGGTTTGCTCTCAGGAAAGTGAAGCTTCCTTAAGCCCTCAGGTTTTTTTGCATTTTACAATACTGTATAACTCATTCTTCAAAGACCTGTAAAACGAGAGATGGAAGGATTTTCCTCATCATCACTGCTCTTTCTTTAAATGGGGAGGACCTCTTCCTTCTTACAAGTGCTGTCCCATTTCAGAAGCAGGAACTCATGTGCTTGCACATACTTGCCAGCCCAAGCATACCTTTGTACTGTAACTGCTCTGTACAGAACACATTAACCTGGAGCTTGGGTTCATTTAAGTCCTCTTCTCCTGCATCTTGTGACACAGGAACAGCTGAAGATCACTTTCAGCCTTTGGGTTTTCTGATTGCATCAATTCTAGTATTCAGAGTCAGTATGATCCTCAATACAGCTCTCGACCTTTGGAGAACAAGCCTGATTAGTACCATCTGTTTTTCTTCCCTTCCTTGACTTTTTCTGCTCTCCCACACACTGCCCATCTTTGTGTCTGATCCCGAATGATGTGTGGGCCAGGAAAGAGGGTCAAAGGGTCTGAGGCCCAAAATGCTACTGGAGCAGAAGGGGGTTGTGGGACAGACTAAGCATCGGCCCCAGTTACTCTGTCCCATAGTACAACTATGCAGGTAGGGGACCTGAAACGGTGGCAGGATTAAGCTGGGGGGGAGAAGTTGGCCACTCACTTTAGGAGCCACAGTGACAACCCTTCTTTCCTGGCTTCCTTTTTCTCTTTACTCATTAGAGTAACAAAAGCAAAACCCAGACAGGCTGAATGTGTCTGGGGAGAACATGGCCCCATGTTTGAGGTAGATGAAGATCCACCCCTCCCATGGCTGCCTGCTTCAGTAAGGGAGGCTAAACAAGAGGGGTGAACAAAGCTTCTGAGACAGGCCATCTCAAGCAGCCTCCAACTGACTGGGAAATAGCATGTTAGTGAATTGGACCTTTGTGCCTATGTCAAGCTAGTAATTTGGCTTGGAGGACTCCTCATGCACATCTCCACTTCTGCTTCTACAATCTGCCTCCCACCCTGCCCTGCCTAGCTAGCAATTTTTCCAACCACGACCCAACTCCAATCAGTAGCTTTCCCTTTCTGCATTCCAGCAGAGGGGAAATCCCTGCCGGTCTCTCACAGCACCATGTTCATACAAACAATGCAAAGCTGGAACAGACAATGAGGAGCCAACTCCAGTCACTTGACTTCTGTACTAGGACTTAACATGAGTTTGTCTTGAAGACCACTTCTCAGAAACAGGTCTATCACTCATTAATTCCTTCAGTGCACACGTGCACTCCTAGCTGCCAGGACTGAAAGGAACTAGAAGAAAGGACTCAAATTTAACAAAAAGGTCCACAAACCAAAAGGAAGCAAACCAACATATTGCTCTCTCAAAGGACAATGACTCTACAGTTTAACAATATATCCCCCTCCCTTACAGTACAAGAGAATAATAAAATAGGATTTTTTTTTCTTGGAAGGAAAAGAGGCCAAAGTAGAGCACCACAACAGCACTGTGCCGTTTTCCTCCTCTTCTGCATACCACACACATCCCAGTAAGGCACAAGACTCCAGCTGATCATCCTGCAATACAACTCAGCCACTTTCAGAAGGTGGAGGCCGGAGCAAAAGCAGAGCAAACTCATTGTCCTCCAAGTACTGCCAAAGTCAGCAACGCTTGGTACCAGCTCACATAAGCCACAAGTCAGGACCCCAGAATCTACATTAATTTCCTGATCCACAGCCCCAACACAAGCCAGAAGGTTAGACATCTATAGGAGAAACACAAGGAATGCTGCTAAGCTTCAAAGTAGGGAGCCAGTTCAGACACAGGTTTGCAGCTGACCTTCCCAGTAAGACTGAATCACTAACTCTTGCTCAGTCCAAGGCAAACAAGGTGGAAGCATTGCTCAAGGATGGCTTCTTTTCAGAAGATTCTACTTCAGGAATTGAAATCATTTTTTTTAACTTTGTTGTCTTCTTTCTCATATAAGAAATGAGCTACCTACAGTGACACAAAGAGAAAACAACAAGCAGCAGCAACAAGCTCTTGAGGATCCTGTTCCTTAGAGCAATCTTGCAAGTTAATACTCTGGGATGGGTATAACCAGATGTCAACCACTATTGAGACAGCAGGGAGTTAATTACAACTATTTGTGAAAAAATAAAGGTGATATGAGGGGAAATTCTGAGGGAATTCCTTGAAAAAACCAGTTCCTTATTGCAAAAAGTTAACTTTAAATGCTGTTTGCTTAGTGGAACACATTTCTCCAACAGGGACATGTGTTTTCAGAAAGGAAAACTAAGAAAAGAAACTACAAATGCTATAATAAATCTTTTAGCTTTGTTACCAATAGCTAATAGACTTCTTTTTTTTGCTAAAGAGGCAAAGAGGAAGGTGAGATTAAAGCCCATTTTTAAATACTGCTCTATAGCGTAGTGTAACTTACCTTAACTAAAATCTGTCTATCTACAATATCACCTTTTGCCAGTCATACAATTTATTTATAGACAGACTAAAATAGTGACATCTGCATTATAAATAAACCAGACAGAACTACAGCCTCACTGTAGCTACAGAAACAAAGCACAGAAACTAAACCTCTGCCATCCAGGCCTGCCTCTCGGGGACTTGCCAGTCCCAGCAGAAAACTCCATGGAAGGAAGCAGCATCACATCAAATGCTCAAATACTTTCTACTCCTTCCTCCTGGCCCCAATCTCCAACAGGAGCCCAGATAATAAATTCACCAGTTTCTTGTTTTTTTCCAAATAGGATTCTGTAATCCTCTTTTCTAGGGTACAGTGACTCAGCCTGGTTTCTCACAGTCCACAGTGCTGACTTAATGTCTCCTTCCATTTTTTACAGTTCCTGTGTTACTGAAGTCTGACGGCAACTGGACACAAGCCATCCTCAAAGATCATCACTTATCCAGAGCCGATTTGTATCTTTTGCCCAAGGCTTTTTCTTCCTTTACTTCCCTGAAGCCCTTCCCATCATTGTGTCTTTCTGTTGCCTCTTTTTTTACCCATCTCAAAGGGGAGTAAGAACAGCAAAAGTCCATCTGCACATGGCTCCCAGCAGCATGAAGAAGAAAGGCTATGAGAAAAATGCATCTTCTACTATAAATCGTAAACTCACCAGCAGAAACAAAGTCCAGTGGCAGCAAACCCCTCTACCTAAGCAACACAGAATCACAAAAGGATTTAGGTGGGAAGGGACACAGGGCTAACTCTAAGGCTAGATCAAGTTCCTCATGGCTGTATCCAACTGAGTTTTGAAAACACAGACTTTGCATACCTCCACTGACAAATGTGCCCATAGATCTTACACATGCCCTTCCTGCAACAGATATACTTCAGCCCATACTACAAATGTTTCCCTGAAAACTCCATAGAGAAAACAACCAGGGTGCATCCACATTAATTCAGACAACAGTGGGCATAAACCCCCACTCCCCATAGAACCTCCACTGCAA